TGGAAGACACTGGGGCTGGGGAGTGGGGAGGCGGGGCGCCGAGATAGCTCGGAGGCTGGGGAAGGGAGGGATATGGGTCGCTGGGGTTCTAAGCAGAGGGGTTCCAGAGCTGGGTGTTCAGCCCTTGGGCCGGCGCCTTAGCCTGGCAAAAGCCTGTTTTGGCTTCTTCCCTGCTGAGCACAAACCACTCAAGCGTCCTCCGCAAACCCTGTGATAGCAAGAGATTGAGTTTGAAGAGGGAGCGCATCTCCCAATTGCAAAGCATCTTAAGCCTGAATTGATGGGAGCAAAGCCCTCAGGCCTTCTGCACTCTTAAGACAGCTCTGAACAAGACGGCCGGTGCAGGGAAAGCGGCACTGCGGGGGGTGCGGGGGTGGTGGTGTCTGAGCCCCAGCTACCCCCAGTGCTGTGGTGGGGGGCAAGTTCTGGGCTCTGAGCATTGCTTTGTCTGCCTAGCATCTTGCTAGGGGCGGGGTGTAAATGCCAAGGAAGAGTCCAGGACAGGGCCTGGCACTGAGTGCCCCAGTATTTTGTTTTTAAGGTTTTCACCATGGGATACATGTGCCAGCTAGAGAGAGACAGAGAAGGAAAATAAGAACCCCTTCCTCCATTTTACAGATGTGGAAGCTGAGGCTGGAATCCATCTTACTCTTCCTAGCATTCAGCACCAAGTGGGACAAAGCAGGTGCCAGTGGACCAGCACAGGGCAGGGGGTGGAGGTAGGGGGCTGTTCTTGCTCAGGGAGGCAGGGAGAGCCTTCTCTCCTCCCACCCTCATCCAGGTAGGGATTCAAGTACCTGCCCAGGCTTGCTCAGGCCAAGGGGCAGGCAGGGGTGGGGCAGATGGGGCTGCCAGGGGCAAAGGTTGTTCTGCTGGGCCCCTCCAACCTCTCTACCCCCCACCCCCCACCCCCGTCTGGGCTTGTTTTCCCAGGGGCAGCAGAGAAGGAAAAAACAACCTTGTTTTCAAGCAGGATCAGCCTGGCTGTAGACGGACTTTGGATTCCTTAGAAGGCAGGGATGGGCCTGGCCGCTGGGACCAGTAGGTGGGGGAGGAAGGGGAGGAGACATTTTGGCAGTACAGGGCCAGGAATCTCACCTGAGGGCTGGGTTCCTCTGGACAGTGGATGGCCCAGGGTTCTGGCCTCCAGGGCATCCCCTGGCTGCCTCTTCCCCATCCCCATTCTTTGATTCATTCAACAGATATGAATGTTTATCAAACACCCACCAGGTCTCTGGGATAGGCTGGGCCTAGCAGGTGATGATGTGGTTAAGGTGCTGGACTCCCACATGGCCAACGGTGGTTCAAGTCCCAGACCTGGTGACTTGAAACTCACACCAGGCACATGTGCATGCATGCCCAAAATCGCAGAAGAGATTGTGGAGTGGTCATCCCTGAGGGATGATTTCTCACTTTGCCTCTCACTGTCTCTCTTTGGCAAACACACATGCCCTGTGGCAAAAACCTAAAAGAGAAAAGGAATCAATAGGCCCCCATCCTGCCCCCTTAGGAGACTGAGCAAGAGCCTAGTCTTAAGGGACCGAGGCCAGGCCACACGCTAACCCTAGGAGCTGGCTGACTGAGACCTGGAGACTCCGCTTGCGCGATTCTGGCCTGCTGGCCTTTGAGCTCCTGGACCGGACTCAGATCTTTCCTACCTCGGGAGCTTGCACTTTAAGACCGTCCCTGGCCCCTGGAGCTGCCTCACACTGCCCAGTGGGCTGTTGAGTTGCAAGTCCTGGCTGAAGCCAGCTCCTCAGAGAAATGTACTATTATTTCACTGTACCATGCCCACTTCCCAGAGCCCTCACTATATTTTGAAATTAGACACTTGTTGGGGCCAGCAGGTGTCATAGTGGTTAAGGTGCTGAACTCTGAAGCAGCCGATTGCCGTTCAAGTTCAGGACCCAGCGGCTTGAAAATCATGGTGTAACTGCATACTCAAAATCCCAAGAGAAGAATGGAAAAGGGATTGGGGTGTGACCATCGCCCCCTGGGGGGCGATTTCTCATTTCCCTCTCTGTCTAGGAGACTGTAAACTTGTTCTGCCATGGGTTCCCTGTTGTCTGGCTCATCACCTGTCACATAATAGGTGCGTGATAAACAACTGAATCACCAAGATGTTGATAGTGGTACTTGAACCAAATCAGGAAGGGCCTGTTCCCTAGCTGGGTGGGAATGATCACAGAAAAACATTGCCAGAGGGACTTTGAGGCCACCTGATGCCCGATGTCAGCAGCTCTTTAAGAATGTTTAATTGGGGCGTGCAGGTGGTGTGGTGGTTAAGGTTGCTGGACTCCCACATTGCCGACTGCGGTTCATGTCCTGAACTTGGCAGCTTGCTTTCTTGCTTTCCTTCTCTCTCTGTCCCTCTAAATAAATAAATAAGTGAAGTGAAATAAAATAATTCTTTTAAAAAGAATGTTTAATTAACCAAACGTCCAGCAGGCCTCGCAGGCTTTGTAGGGGGATTGCTCTTCGTGTTGTTTTTCAGCGGGAACAACAAGGCCTTCAGGATCCTCCCTCCTACTCCACACAGGAGGCAGTGCGCTGAGTGCAGTGCTGGCACGCGTGTGTACCTGTGTGCACGTCATGTGAGGCGGTGAGAAAATAAGGGAGGGAAGATCGTACTGGATAGGGTGTCTTCAGGCTGTTGTGTCTGGTGCAAGAGACTTGGAATCCGGCACGTGGAAGCGCGCCATGCCGGGAAGTGGGGGAGTGTGGGGTCAGAGCAGTGGCTGGTCATACTCCAGCTTTAGGCCCAGTTGTGAAGTTGCCCCGTGACACAAGCCAAGTGGGAGGCCCAGGCCCAGGCCAGGTTCAGATCCTGCATCAGCCTGAACATGCCTGGTGTGCACCTTTGTGCCTGTGGTCCTGGCTGGGAGCCTGAGGGGAGCCCCTGAATGGTTTTTTTCACTTCTCCAGGCCTCACTTTCCCTTCTGTAAATTGGGAACAAAAATAGAACCTTCAGGGGCCAGCAGGTGGCATGGTGGTTATGGAGCTGGACTCCCACATGGTTGACAGCAGTTTGAGTCCCAAACCTGGCAGCTTGCTTTCTTACTTTCCCTCTCTATGTCTCTCTGGTGAGAACACTTGCCTATAGCAAACTTAAATAATAAAATTAATTAATATTAAAAACACCTCCATCAGAGAATTAAACCAGAGAACATGTGCAGAGCCCTTAGCATGGTGACTAGCACGTGATATGTGCTCATTAAATGTGGATCTTGGTGGGGCTGGCAGGTTGCATGATGGTTAAGAGTGCTGGACTCCCACATGGCTGACAGCGGATCGAGTCCCAAACCTTTCTCGCTTCTCTCTCTCTGTCCTTCTCTGATCAAATTTAAATAAATAAAGTTAAATAAAATAATTCTTAAAAAAATGTGAATCTTGGTTGTGGGGCAGGGAGATTTCATCAGGTTCCCCCAAGACCTGGACTCTAATCTCCCCTTGAGTTCCCAGGGTCCTCTACGGTTGCGTGGAAAAGGATATGGTCCATTTTCACGTGGGCAGCGAATTTACCGCCCGAGACTCTTCACCTGCTGCTGGCCATAGCTGCTTTAATTTGGGAAATCTCTCTTCTTGGTGCCTTGGTTCTTCAACTGAAAATAGGTAAAAGCAGAGTCCTGCTCGGCCTGGTTCGAGTTATGTGAGTCAGAAGCCAGGAACTACCTTGCAAACTATCAGGTCTTAACCCAGCTGGTGGTCCTCAGAAACTTGCCTTCAGTGCTGCCCTCCCTGTTTAGTGCCTCAGTGTCCCTGTGTGTAAAATGTTCAGAGTTCTGGGGCCAGCAGGTGGTGTAGTGGTTAAGGGCACTGGACCCCCATGGGGCCCACCCTGATTTAAATCCCGGACCTGGTGGCTTGCTTTCAATCTCTCTCTCTGGTCAAATTTAAATAAATAAGTAAAGTCAAATAAAATATTTTTCAAGAGGTGTTTACTATAGGGTGTGTGTGCTCTCGCTAGAAAGACAGACGGAAAGGGGGATGGCTGGCTCCTCCCTTCTCCTCTCCGGATCTTGGGCATGCACACCTACGTGCCTAGCCTGAGTTTAAGCCCTCAGGTCCAGGATTCGAACTGCTGTTGACTACATGGGAGTCCAGCGACATGGCCATCACGCCAACTGCTGATCCCAAAATAGTTTTTTTTTTTTTTTTGTGAGAGGTTTTTGCCATAGGGCGCGCGTGCTCGCCAGACGGACAGAGAGAGACAGAGAGACAAAAAGCGAGAAATCACCCCCAGGGGGGTTGGCCACGCCGCAATCTCTTCTCCTCCATTCTCCTCTTGGGATCTTGGGCACACACACACACACACGCGCCCGGCGTGAGTTTAAGCCACCGGGTCCGGGATGCGAACTGCGGGCAACTATGTGGGAGTCCAGCGACATAGCCATTACGCTAACTGATAGTCCCCCAAAATAATTCTTTAAAAGAAAGAAAATGAAGAGTTCCACTGCCTTCAATGGGTCTGTCTTTAAAGTAATCGTTTAGGACATGGGGTGGGGGAGGTCCTTGAATTCAGCCAAAGGTCAACGCCTGAGCTTCCCCGCGGCAGTGAGCCCCGAACCAGGTAAGCTTAGGCTCCACCCAGCTGCTCCTGCGTGGCAGGTGAAGGTGCGCCCTCTGCTGGCCGGGGTGGGAGCAAGGCCCTGGGAAGTGGGGAGAACCACAGTGGCTCAGGAGCTATTTCGGAGAAGGGGGAAGGGGAAGGCGCTGTGTCCCAGAGGGGTCTATATGCACATATTAAAGAAAACGAAAGGTTAAGATGTTGGTGCCGCGCTTAGAACGCAGAGGGACCCACGACCCACGGTGCAGTCGATGCTTCCTCCCCGAACTTAGGGCCGCATGGTTCGTCCCGGATCGCTGGGACGCGCGGAATCCTGGGAAGTGTAGTCCGCAGACGGGCTCCCCGCGCCGCGGCCTGCGCTCTTGGCAGCGGGAGGACTGCATTTCCCGAAGTGCCCCGGGTCCGGGAGGCGAGGGCTGCCGCGGTGGGCCAGTTCAGCGTGAGCGCACCGCCGCCGTCTCCGCCCCGGCCCCCAGCCCGGCTGCAGCGCGCACCATGGGCTCCATCCTGAGCCGCCGCATCGCGGGGGTGGAGGACATCGACATCCAGGCCAACTCGGCCTATCGCTACCCCCCGAAGTCCGGTGAGCGCCGGCCCTGGCCCGAGGCGCGGGCTGGAACGCGGGTCTGGGCGGCAGGGCAGCGGCGAAGGGCGGGGACGAGGGGCTGGGGCGCCCCGCTCCGCCCGGGCCCATGGAGGGGTCGTGGCCAGCGCTGCCAGTCCCGGCTGAGTGACCTTGGGCTGGCCCTTGGCCCCGCGAGCCTAGCCCTGGCCTATACACCGGGAAGCTGGCCTGAAGCTCCTCGGGCTGAGCGCGGAGCTTCGCGCGGGGCCTGGCGCGTCCTGGCGCTTATCAAGTGCCCATTGTCAAGAGCGTTGACCTCACCGCGGTGGCCGGGTTTCGCTTTCCTTGGTGGCTTGATGACCGGACCAGCGGTCCTGGGCGTTTTCCAGTTGGCTTGGACAGAGGCTGACCTCTCCCGTGTGGAGCTGGGCCGAGGAGATGAGTCTTTCATCGGGGAGGCGCGGGGGTT